TCTTCTGTGACCTAGTTCTCTTGCTATTTGTTTAAAGGCTCTAATGAGAATGTAAAATGAGATGGGGTTTTTTTATCTGTAATAAAGTAACCTATTTCTAGATCATATCTGTAAAAAACACAACTGCCTTGATTGCAGCCAAAAAATTGGAATGAACTGTATATTGTTCAGTTCTTCTCCCCAAGCCAAATGTATTTTCTGTCACCTTCAGTGTTTTGACTTTTTTAATGTAAAAAGAAAATGAGAATAATATGCTAAGCAGATCAAAGCTCAGAACCCTAATACATTTAACAGGCTCCATTCTTGGAATTGTATTCATTATTGATACCAGAGTAACAAATCTATTTAAGTCAATGGACGTGGCCTATGGGAATTAAAAGAAAATTTAGCCCTTAAGCCTCGTCTCATGAAAGAGCAATAATGAAAAAATATGAGGAACTACTTACAGTGACACATTAATAATTTTTTATTATTATTTCTATTTTAATCAAATAGTCCTTTAAGAAAAATAAAGTTGTTGCTGGCAATGCAAAGGTTTCATGTGACTTAATATTTTGGATATTTTGGATTTGGATATTGGATTTGGATACAGGAAAGAAATGTAATGTTCGCTGTCTGAAAGGTATCTTATCAAAGAAAGATTCTGGAAGAAACTGTAGGAAACCTAACTACAAGATATTTCATGTCAGATAACAAAAAAGCTTCAGTGATGGATTTTTTTTTTTATATTCCCACCAAAAATATCCCTGAGTTGATGTGGTTTTGATGTATGCATTTCTACTTTTCTTTTCACCCAAGTTCTAATTACATCATCATTTTCTCCCTCTTAAATTGGGCAAAAAAGTCTGGATTATGTTTTCCATTTCCTCAATTCTCATCAGATTTGAGAAATATTTGCAGCAAAATCATTCTAGATGCATGTTTTATTTAATGTTACATTAATTTGTTATACATTTTTAATTTAGTATACTGCTTTTACTTTCCTCTATATTTCTATACCTAGATATCAAAGATTAAGGTTAGTTCATAGATGCAAGACTGCAAAAACAACCTCAGTGAAATCATGGAATGGTTTGGGTTGGAAGTGACCTTTAAAGGTCATCTAGTCCAAAGCCCCTGCAATGAGCAGGGACGTCTTCAACTAGATCAGGTTGCTCAGAGCCCCGTCCAACCTGGCCTGGAATGTTTCCAGGGATGGGGCATCTACCACCTCTCTGGGCAACCTGTGCCAGGGTTTCACCACCCTCATCATAAAAAATTTCTTCCTTATATCTTATCTAAATTTACCCTCTTTTGGTTTAAACCATTGCCCCTTGTCCTATTGCTACAAGCCCTACTAAAAAGCTTGTCCCCATCTTTCTTATAAGCCCCCTTTAAGTACTGAAAGGCAGCAATCAGGTCTCCCTGGAGCCTTCTCTTCTCCAGACTGAACGACCCCAACTCTCTCAGCCTTTCCTCATAGGAGAGGTGTTCCATCCCTCTGCTCATTTTTGTGTCCATCCTCTGGACCCGCTCCAACAGGTCCATGTCTTTGCTGTGCTGAGGACCCCAGAGCTGGATGCAGTACTGCAGGTGGGGTCTCATAACATTGGAGTAGAGGGGCAGAATCACCTCAAATTCATTCCCAGATCAAAGCATTTATTTCTTCTATGTGACTGTGCTACCTCTGCCATTGTGGGCCCTTTCTGTACCGTTGATGCTAACACATCTGAGCTGTTTTGCCAGCTGCTGAGGAAAATGTGCCAAGTCTGGAAGCAACAGCTGAACATTGGCTTCTTACATAAGAAGGGATCCATACTCAGAGTTGTCGATTTAATTTTGTAAGTGGTAAATAGGCTTAAGAAGACAGGTGAAATAACTTTTAAAGATATTTTTTGAATTGTTATGTTTGTGTTAAATTAAGGACAGAAATAAACCTGTGTAGGAAACCAATGGTCTGCATGTTTTGAGAAAAGAAAAAAAATAAAAGGTTATTTACTTGTTTTCCCATAGTGAAGTGTTCTCTGTTTGACTTAGCTGATTCAGAAAAGGGTAGAGGAGAAGTCAAGTGTTTTTTCCAAGGCATAGTAAGAAGACAAAAGGGAAGCGTATCTAGGATAAAGTCTCTGAACTTATCTGGAGTGATCTCTTCCGCTGGTCTGGAACACCAGAAGTCTCAGACCTGAGTGACTAATTATTTAACAAGCAAACAGTTCTGGTTCATCTTCCATGATTTACAAATTGTTTGTTTTCTTCTTCTTTTTTAACATTGTTAACTACCAGAAGTTCATTTACAGTTGGGGAAAATGGGATTATGAAACAGTAGATCTCTGTACATGAAATTCTAGCTTAACCTGTAATAATTTATATAGCAAAAAGCTATTTAGTAGTATATGAACAATTGATTATATGGATGTTTATATGCCTGTTTTCTTCACCTTGGTTTCAGGGTTTTTATCTGAAACACCCACAGGCTAGCATATAAGATGGTCTCTAGAGAAACTAGGTTTCTGTCAGCAGATTATCGAATTTTCCTTGAATGCAGAAAGATTTTTACAAACAGCAGTTTGTAGGAGTAAGCATTCTGTCATTGTCAATTACATTTGACCAATAATGTGGTTTTTATATTGATAAAAAAGATAAAAAGCAAAATTGTAGCTAATGGTGATCTAACAATTAGTAAGAATAATTTCATGGACAAAATAATGTGCTATTATATTATCATCCCTTATATGATATACAATGTGATAAGGTCTTCAAATCTGTATGTTTATGTTTATATTTTAAGTCTCAAATTAAAAACAAAATGGACAAAGTATTTTAAAGTATGTTTTTTCCAAGGATGATATTTTAATAAAATAGAAATTGCATTTTCTCCATATGGAGTCCCCAAAGAAATGTAGTTCATCTGGTCCTATTGCAGTTTAGCATATGGTGATACTTCTTGCCCAAAAGGAGATATCAGAAGTTGTTCTTTAATTAGAGAATCTGAGAAAACAAAGTACAGTGAATGCTCGCAATGCGATCTTCTGCACTAGAGCAGTTCTTACCTTAATTTATAATGAGAATGGGTTCTTTCTGATTCTTTCAAAGCTTTAATGTGTGCATATAAAGTTCTTCTGCATTAATGTTGGTCAGATCAGGCAGGAACTAATCACCTCAGATCAGGAATAATGATACAACTTTTACCACTTCAGTTTAGTCCATGGATTTAGCTTTGAGATAGTGAACCATAGTCAAAGTTGTTCCCTTTACTGGAATTATTTTTTTCAGAATGCATACTAATAAAAAGTTTTGCCTATTGCCTCAAGACTATAATTTACCTATTGGGTGAATAAATTATGAATAAATCACCTGTATATTGAAGTTACATGATTTGATTTATTTTTCTTACTCAATGAAGTTACCCTTATTACCCCTGCTATACTAACATGGAAAAATAACTTAGAAGGTTTGTTATTGCCCTGATCTCCACAATAAAGGAAATTATCTGTATCAATAAACTTTAAATTCTCAAGTCTCCCTAAAAATAGAATTCCTATGATAAGGATTTTGAACTTTTTTTAATGGAGGAAATGCTTCTGCAAGCTCTTTACTTCATATTGAATAGCTTCCAGTGATGATGTGCACCACAGAAAAATGAAATGTAATATTTGGCTATAAATGAGCAGAAAAGACATTAGCTGTAGACAGGGAGTAATTTTGATGACAATTCTCAAGAAAACAACAACAGAAGTAATTACAGTAGACTGATCTGCAGCAAAATATCTGCTGCACACCAGTCTGTGTTAATACTCAAAAATGAATAAATTGTAGATTATTTAAATATAGATTATAAGTTGTGGATACTGTCTCTAAAGGGTGTTTCTTTTTATTACAGAATAACATGAGTTTGCACAGATAAAAATGTCTTTTTTAATTTGCCATTATGATTCTGAATGAGGAATCCCTAGTAGTTAATCACTAGCTTGCAGTAAATGATCCAGACCTTGAATACCTTCTGCTCTGTAGCTGGACTGTTTGCAAATGCGGGTTTCTAGGCACACCCTTGAAGAGGTTTTCCACTCTAAATCTTCAGACATAATTGATCCTTCAGTGTTGATCCTTCAGACATCCCCTGAAGAAATCACATGCCCCACAGCGTCATTGTGATTTGTTAGATCCCACAAATTACTGATCACATTTTATATTCTGTAAAGCCAGAGCTACAAAAATTTTGCAGATGTATTCTCTTTTCTTCTAGACAGAAAAAGCTTAAGTTATAGATATATATCCAAAGAGGTTGTCAGTATGCACAATCCTCCATCATTTTTTTTTTCTGTAGCCTAGTCTTGTCTTGCACTCACATCTATAGTGCATTGGAGACAGAGCTCTCTTTAATAAAAAGTTTATATTCCTCCTGTCAGGTTTATGTGCTGAGGCTCTTGTACACATAGACACTTACCGTGCAATTCACAGTTTTGGTTACATGAAGCCCCCAGACTGGGAAAATTTGCTCTTGAGGCTGTAGTCTGCTCTTGGTGATGAGATGCCTCCACTTGAGTGGAGGATTAGGGTATTAATTTCTTCATTGCTAATTCTCTGCTGGTTGTCTCAGATTCTCTCTTAGCATCTTTCTGGGTATTCAATCTAATATGCAGGTTAAATGACCAAAAAGAAATGTGATTGTAGAGGGGTTTAAGATTTAAGGCATATGCTAATCAATCGTTATCGTAAATTGTAAGAAGAAAATAACAAAATCCTGGCAGCAGCAAGAACAGCTGTAGAAAAATAGGGACATATTCCTATGTCCTAGTATTAACTTGTGCTAATGAACCTATATATCCAAATACACTTTTGCAGCTTTTTCCTGAGCATTTACAGTGCTGATGCTTATAACACAGTTTAAATGATAGTATAAAACCTGTGGTAATTCAGGAAGTAGTATTTTCATAACAACATTGGTTCAATATACAGTTTTGAGATTATCTATCAAGTATGGTTATGTGTGATCTTCCATTTATGTTTACTTTGGTTTTTAGCTCCAGACCAGTCTGTCTGAACCAATGACATTATCCAAGTCGATCTCACTTCCTCGTAGTGCATATTGGCATCATATCACCCGGCAGAACAGCGTTGGAGAAATCTACAGTTTACAAGGCAAGTTCCTTATAAGTAAATGCCATGTCCATTAGCTTCTTTCCATTTGACCGGAATTCATGCAAATTGCTTTTTATTTGCGCTGGTTGTTTTCTCTCCATTCCATTTTATCAATTGTCAAGAACCTCAGCAGGATTCCCAAATTTACATAAAACAGGTTTCTTTTAGTCATTTTGTAAACTAATGGTGAAAATTATTCCCAGAATCACCACATAAAGCTGGATAGACAATTTGGCTCAAAGTAGCTTCTCAGTAGCTAATGAATGTCAGGTTGTTTTAGTATTTTCTTCCAATAAGATTGTGTATGTCTTTGGGCAACCTCAGGGTGCCCAATTAAATCTACATAAAATGGCTATACGAGTTGCAAGATTAAAACAAAATAATTCTAGGAATAAGAGCTGTTCTTGGTGAATTTGCTTGGTGAAACATATATATGAACTGTTGATTTGACTAACTTACAGACCTTCTTGATATACATACCATCTTTTTTTGTCTGCAGTTCTCTTTCATATGTTTAGATTCTAAGCCATTTGCTTAAGACTTAAAATGCTATAATTAACATAACTTGAGGACAATGATGATGATTCACTGCTCTTAAGCTGAAATTGATTTGTATCTTTTAGGAAACTGAAATTATTGTTACATTTTAAATGTAGACCTTAGTTCATAGTGTTATTTTCACTTTTAAAAAAATAGCAACTTATCATAAACATATTCCTTTGTATTACTTGGAAAGGGCTTAAGGATTTCGTTTCACTTCTCTCTTAATAATCTGTTTGCATAAGCAATTTACATTTAGATAGGAGGTTAGAAACTGCTCACAAACAAGAGTACCCAATGCAAGAAAACATAGTACATGTTTTCATGAAAATACGTGAAATGCAGTATATAGATGAAAGACATGAAATGTTTTGTTTTGTAAATTATCACATAACTTAAAGTCAGCAGGCGAGTTGTGAATTCAGTGGGTGACTCATTAAAGGGTACAGCATTTGTTTCCCATCATCCCCCATACAACAAAAAATTCACAAAGTGAATTTCTAATCATGGTTATAGTGTTACAGTTAAATAACAGTAATGGGAAAAAGAAAATAACCTTCCAGAAGTTGTTTGTGAAAAAAGTTGTGCTCGTAGATCACTTCAGAAATATCATAGCACTTATATTTTTTCATAAACCAAATAAGAATGAAAAAAAAAAGTTTATTTGTAGAGATGTTAGAGTTCCTCTTCTTACATTCTTGATGGGTCTTTCCTTTGGTGAAAAGATAGTGAATGTGTTATGATATACGTAAAGTGAGATAAATGTATGGAACATTGTTCATTCTCTGCAATCTTTTGTTTCTTACAAATGGCCTTTGCAATAAAGGAAAGCAAAACTTGATATATCAAGTAATATTTTAATATCTATACCAACTAGCTTTGCAGGACGCAATATATTGGAAGTGTATTATTAAAAATGCAAGAATTTTACTTTTTGGAAGTAAGCAGATTTTATTCACACTTCCACTGAAACATGGGATTAATAAATATTTCAGAACTTAAGATTTTCATTTCTCTTACATGTACTATGATGACTGAAGCTTGAGAAAGCGTAGTTGATTTCAGGAGAGACTAGTAAAGTTTTACCAGTGGGCTGAGAAATGCATCCAGAAGACAATTTCGTCTCTCTCTGGTTGCAAAACTTTTCCATGCAAGAATATTATTCATTATCTGTAATGAAGATCTCTTTGAACCTTCTGCTGCAAGGACTAATTAAATGCAATGTATTTCTACAGAAGCTTAAGGGAGCGCAACATACACCTTTTTGTCCTAATACCTGTTCATCCTGGCAGTCTTTGCACAGCAGAGACCAACCGGTTGTCAAAGCATCAGCCCACAGATGCTTCAAAGATGTAGGTGGAAGGTGGGTAGTGAGGAAGCAGATTGCGAGCATCACTTCAACCCTCACCTTGGTACAGCAGCCAGCTGAGAGGAGCTGTTGCAGAGGGAAAATTCACTTGCTGCCACTGTGATCTCCTCTGAACTTGAAAAGGTATATTACACCTTCAGAGAGGAGACGATTTCTTTAGAGAATAATCCATCACACTCAGTTCTGCACTTCATGTGTATTTATGACACAGCTTTTTACATTCAAGAAACGAATTTGAAAATTCCACACATTCCTCTGAATATCTCGCAAACTTGAAAATGAAATAACTAGAGTGGTGTCTACCTATATTCAGATTACTGTCAATATCAGTAAAGTAACAGGTGAACTCACAGTTAAGTACAGTGCAGAAGTATTTCCATAGTGGCAATTATTTCAGAGTTGCAGTCTGAAGTGACTAGAATTTAATTAATAACAGCTGGTGATGTACAAGGAGAAATGAGTATGTGCTCATACTACCTTAGATAAATTGGCTCTTCGGGAATTATTTAGCAGTTGAATTTAACTTAATTAGTAGTGTGAGTTGATCTGATAATGAATATGCTGTAGAGTAAGAAGGTGGGGTATTTTCTGGTTGGGGTTTTTTTTTAAGGACTACGTTTCAGGTGAGAAAAGGCAATTCAATAAATGGGTATTGGGTTTATCATCCTCCATCTGCCCATGACAACCCTTGCATGTAAAGACCTGAAAACATTAAAACACAGGATAATAGTGCTAAAGGAACACAGGTTGCACAAAATACCGAGAAGTCAGGTGGGCTGGTTTCTCTCTTTATACAGCTTTTCCTCCATTTGTAACTTCCTTGCACTCTTTTGGTTCTTGATTGCGCTGCTAAGATAAAAGTAGTAGTTTAGTTGTCTAATGAATCTTGTCAGTAGGAACAGCGTGGTGGTTGGCTTTTACCAGTGGCAGCACATCACTTCCAGTATTCACTTCAGATTTTACAGTGGAGTGCTGCAGGTCTGACAGAGTTGCCATCCATGATCTGCAGCCGCTGTAGAGGTTGTGACACGGGGTCTCATTAGCTGACACAGCAGTGGCCTTTCAGCGCTCTGCGTTGCCTCTTCTCCCCATCTGACGTGACATTGGGCAAGCCCCACCGCTGCACAATAAAAAGAAAAAAGGGGATTGCTGCCATGCCAAAAACAGCACAAAGTTTTTACAGCCACCAGGTTAAATTCTGACATAAACTTTGGTGTTGGAGTGATTGCACTTAAAATCCCAACTGATACCCATGGCTTTACAAATCACAATGCCTCTTCCTAAATATTCTAAATATTAATAATCCGGATCTTCCCCTAAATTACATTTCAGAGATGAAATAGTGTCCTTACAGATTTTTATGATAAAATAGTTTATCATAAAGTAGTTTAACAGAGAAAAAAGAGAAGAAAATTACTTATACATGATTTTTTATGCATACATGAGTAAGACTTAAATCAATTGTACATTTTCATGAAGAATAGACAGCTCTATGAAGAATTAGAGCCCAAAAGAAGATAAACTGTCTGTGATATATTATGGCCTCCTATACATCAAAGTTTACAAAAACAGAAAAACTACAAGCCAAGAGCACTGATGTGAACTGAAATCATGGTTAAGAAGGAGAAAAATACAAGTACAAAAGCCATGTCAGCATGAAAAAACCTCTGTATGTATCCTCATAAATCATTATTTATTGTTGTTACCTGGCATATGATTTAACACTGTTTCACAAGATATTAAAAATTGAGAAACAATGCACATGCCTTTTTTATACAGCAAAAGATAATAGATAGCATCAATGCATGATTTTTTTTAAATTTTGCATTTGGGGGTTTAAATTTGCTTAGGTTGTAAAAAGGATTGCAGACTGAATTTTCAGCTAGCTGAAACTTAGTGTTGTAGTTCTTGCTGGGGAGAATTTGGATAGTACAAATTTTAAACACAGTCAGTTTGGATATTATTAAACAAATCAAGCCAAATAAAATTTTGGTATGGAAACCCACATTAGCTTTTTGTATTGCAGTTATTGAAATCCCTGGGGAAATTATGTTCAGAAAATCTAATTACAGTCTGGCCTTTCTCCAAGAAATTCAAAATTAAGAATCACTTTCAATCACCCCTGTTGTATTTGAGTCTGGTTCATATTCCTTATTTGGACTTTGGTTTTGCTATCCATATTCAGAGTGATGAGCACCTACCCACTTAAGCAATCCTATTCATTTCTGTAAGAGTACTCATGTGAAGGAACGTATATTTGTATAAGAATTAACACCAGGAACATCTTACATGTTTTCCTCTTAAAGAGAAGAGTATTGCTTTTTTCCACAGTAAATTGCTTACCACAGTTTGCTTATCACAAATGCTTATTTGCCCTATCACAAATGCTTATCACATTTTGTTGTAAACACATAAAAAAGTCATTAAATAACACTGAAAAATACTAAGATGCCTGCAAAGAGCTAGAGTCTCACATTTTTAAACTTAGTGAGGAACTTAGATAAAACTATAGTCTTCAATGAGACAGGTCTTAAGCTGGAAGCATCACTCAGGTTTGTAAGTACATGTCAAAATCAAAACCACACAGAAGTAAAAACTGGCCTTGATAAATTCTGCAGGAATTTTGCCGTTGATACAATTGTCTTTTGTATTTCACACGAAAGATGCAAGAAAAATAAATCTGCTTTTGCAAATCAAAATAGAGGGAAACTCTGGCTCCTCTTTGGCCTTGGTAAGCAAGCCTGCATTGCCCCTTGTCTTTTTCCCTTGTTAGGTGAGAGCTCACCCTTCTCTTGGTTTTGAATATATTTTAAGCAGAATAACATGTAGCGTTAACCCCTTCAGCTAAAAGGTTTTGTACGTAAAAGGGAGACAGAGTCATATACAAATGATTTCTCCCAGCTACATGTTTCCAGCCTTTTGAAAGCAGAAGCTCTGGTACGTCATTAAAAATAATCAGAGAATATTCGAGTTGCTAAATATTTAGAAGGATTTGAATCATCCTGTTCAATCCTCCTTAGGCTAATCCTGCAGGAATTTCCAGTGTGAGCTTCTGCAGTTTTCTGCAAATTAAAGCATGTAAAATGAATTG